GGTGGAGGTGGTGGTGGATGTGGTGAGAACAGCTCTGACGCACACACAGGTGCCCTCACATGAACACACACAAAAACTAGATTTAGAAGTGGCATTTATTTTCATCAGTATCTTTCCCTCTCAACTAGAGAGTAATAAGTGCCAGCATGATAGCATAAGGAAACCATGAGGGGCCTCTTTTAGGTTTGCATACAGAAAAAATCGAAACTCCATTTGTATTTACTCTTAATACACACTTTAGATTCCAGAGGACTGAGTATATTATAAATCTTTCATATGAACATCATTCCTCACTCTTGGGACTTTGTGTCACCTTTAATTGTCATTTACAACACTTTAGGAATGCCACATGGGAATGGAGTTTCCCTCACAAAAGCCCTCTGCCTGGAAACAGCAGGTGAAGTTCGGGAGGGTGGGAGCTAAGCCAGTTGGTGGATTATTGATTAAGAAATCGGTAACTCTGCTGAGAGGCTGGCTCCGGGCAAGCTCGCCTTTGGTTGATGACAGTGTTTGCTCAGGACAGATCCTGAAGTCGGCTCTTCTGGTTCTTCTGTTGCAGGAAACAGAGTCTGATTTTGATAACTGTGCTGTCTGCATCGAAGGGTACAAGCCCAATGATGTGGTGAGGATCCTGCCCTGCCGGTGAGTGGAGGGGCTGCCTGCTCCTGCACAGAGGGCCAGAGTCCTTGTGCAGGCATCGCAAACAAGCAAACGCTCCGACTTTTGTAACTTTGGTCCTGGAAAACATGCAGCCGCACCAAAGTAGAAGTCTTTTTTACCACCCACCCCCACCCCATTGCATGAAAGGCAGACCTGAAAAGACAGAATGAATGCATGCTGTATGTGAGAGAGGCAGCACCTTGGATAGCTCGGTAATGCTCAGAATCACTTCTGGCTTTTACCAGTGCTTTTTAAACTAAAATAGCAACTCTAAAAAAGGGGCTGTGAACGATCAGAGCACACTCAGCAATCTGAATATGGCCAGCAGTAAGAAGGGAGCTAGGGGCAGGCTCCATTTCCCTTGCATGTTACCAATGGGAAGAGAGTGGGTCAAGTTCCCACATAATCCTAGGATCTCAAGGAACATTCTAGCATGCAGACTTGAGGCCATGTCCCCAAAGGATGCTCCAATCACTAACTTTTCTCCCTAAGTACAAGTCACTGTTACCGTGTCTGACATTTTCTTTGAACATCCTGATTAAATCAAGTAAGTGAGTGTTGCGTAAGAGCCGTAGCCTTCATTGAAGTCCCTTTTTAGTTGTCTCTATGCAAATGTCCTAAAAATAAAAATATAATTGCCTCAATGAAAAGTACTTCATGTAGAGAAGATGACTTGAAAAGGTCTTGAGTTTAAAAGCATATTAAGCAGAAAGGGTATAACACAAAGACATCCACGATCTGTTACTTCCCCCAAACAATACGAATTTTAAAACTATTTGTTAGAAATAGAAATGGAATAAAATAGCATTCGGGGAATTGGTTTAATAATTTCAAGATGATGAAGAAGTGATCAAAAAATAAATAAAAAGACTAGATGCTAGCTAGAACTCAGCATCTCTCAAGAGGTCTTTCTTGAAATGCTCATAGCAATTGGCCATTAGGAATTTGGAAGTAGGAATTCTCTCCACCCAAAGAGCCAGCAAGTGTGATTCAATTGTCTCACCTTTACACATGTCCACCTGCCCCTAAAGTGGAGTCACAGATGGGGTCACGTAGACACTTAGCAGTTTCCTGTGTATGACCACACTCACTCCGAGTACCTTTTTGATGCATTTATTTACATATTTGGGGGAGGCACACAAGCCAGAGCATGAGTGTAGAAGTGAGAGGGTAGTCTGTGGGAGCCAGCTCTCTCCTTCTCTCATGTGGGTCCTGGGAATGGAATCCAGGTCATCAGGCTGGGGGGCAAGCACCTTACCCTCGGAGCTGTCCCACTGACCTGTAACTCCACTCTTTCTAGACATCACACAATGCGCATGCAGTGACTTCCAGAAGCCTTGTTGGAAACAGCAGTGTGCAGGCTACAGGGATCCCTCTGGCCACATCTTGTCTTGAAGGTTTAAAGCTTCAGCATTAGAAACACCCAGGTGTTTCTCTTTCTCCTCTCCTCACGGTTCCTACTAATGGATATGCACAGCCAATTAAACATCTGCTTTCTTCTGACACTCCACTGTAATGAACAAGATCTGTTTTCAAAAATTACACGTACCATCTCGTTAGCTCTTTGGCTCATACTGTATAAAGTAATTTACTCATCTAAAGCTTTATCATAACTAAATTTTGTGGATCTACATGAAATTGCTGGAGAATTGAAACTGCATAATCACAGTGTGATTTCCCATAGCCTGCTTCAGTGTTTACTAATGACAAGTTACATTTCTTTAGCAATATTCAGTTTTTCTTAGTAATGCAGATCTTCTTTATAACATGGTTATTTGTAAATATTAATCAAGAAAATTAGTATTTTATTGCATATCACCAAAAAAACTTTTGGAAGCTTAACTCTGTTGATGTTAACCTCACTCTGGGCTGCTCAGTTTGGTCCCAGGTTCCTCCTTTTCTATATGATTGCTTGTTTCCGAGCTCACACACTCATTTCAATAATAATATTTGTGTTAATTCTCTGACAGTTTAATATATGCATACAACTTACTTTGATCGTAGGCACCTCTCACCCCTCCCCCAACTCCTCCAGGATCCAACTTCATGTACTTTTTCTTTTTCCTTTTTCTTCATAACTCACCAAGTCCAAGTTACACTGTCCATATATTCGTGAGTGTGGGACTATCCACAGTTGACCTACTAAGGACCAAATCTTTAAAGAAAACTGACTCTCCTTTCCCCAGAAGCCAGCTGTCCAAAGCTCCTTATTTAGAGGTGGCACTCCTGAGCCCCTCCCATCCATGTGGAATGGTGACTGGCTTGATCTTGTGCTGTCTTGTATGGGCAATGGCTACTGGGATTCATGAGTTCAATGGTCCTGTGTCCTTTCTTCTCTGACCACTGCCTCTTACAGTCTTTCCCCTCTTGTCCCATGATGAACCCCAAGTCTTGGGAGGAGGGGGGTCACGCACTGGTTCTTTACTCTCTATTGCTATTTTTGTCCTGCTTTACAGATGGATCTACAATATGACAGGACACACCAAGCATTACCCATCATGAGTTATAGTTAATTACTGTTCAATCTTACACTAATCACACATATGCACTCTCTGAATATCCCATGTGTCTTTTCCATGCTGGTCTCAAAATTAAGGTACTTTTATGTCTGCTGCTGGCTTCTTGCAGGCAGTGTGCACTAACAGATGTTATCAAACAGATGCAGGCAGTGTGCACTAACAGATGTTATCAAACAGATGCAGGCAGTGTGCACTAACA